CACCTCAAGTAGTTCACAGGGTAATTAGTAATTACTTATTGTTGTATCAGTTATCATAAAAGATAAAAACAATTAAAAAAGTCCTCCGGTCGCCAAACTCGAGGTCCTCCGGGCGGCATTATAGTAGTGTTGCACGCACGCGTATAAACGTAAAATCGTTAACTTAGGGAAGCTATAACTTCCAAAATAATCATTTCCGCAATTTTATTTTTGCACCATCGTTCTTAACTCTTCAAAACAACCCTTTTCAAAAAAAAAAATTTCAAAAAAAAATGTGCCCGGTAAACTAGACTTATACCAAATAAACATATAAATAATACATATTACCCAATGGAGGTCTACGCGTCTCCGCAGTGTTTCCCCTTAGATCTTGCCCGTCGGTGAGGCTCACCGCGGGAGGGATTTCCGGGTGTATCACTCCATGGTGTACTTTTAATGTTTATTAAAAAAAATTAAATACCCCATAAAATATTATAATATATGACGCACACGGTAATGGCAAACAACTTTAGCCGGCGTACAGTGGACTACTAATTAATAAATTATATTTCATAAAACTATTGTATCATCCCGGGAAACCATATACAGTGAAGTAGTGGTGGGAGGTTTCGGAGGTTGCTCCCGAGTCCACGCGTACACACCTCACAGCGAGAACACGGCAAGTGGATCACGATATCGGTGCGGGGTGCTGGTAAGATTGTCGAGGTGCACGCGTTGCGTTACAGAAACCCCCCAAACAGACTGTAGATAAATACGCATATTTTTGTGGAGTCTGTTTAAAAAAAAAAAAACGCTCTTGCAAACACGACAAGCTCAGTCACTTATGAATGTATGGTTTAACAAAATCACATTAAAACACCCTCGCACTCGATCTGTAAGTGGGTCACTGTAAGTTGTCACTGACAACATATGCATTTTTATGCTTGATTTCTTTGACAACAAATGGACCTTCATAGAGCATACAAAATTTGTGTATACATTTGTCAACTGACGAGCTTAATCGATGGGTCCGGACTAAAACCAGGTCACCGATCGCATACTGCACCGGGCTTCCTTTCTCCGCATGACGACGTTGTCGGCTTTCAGCTTTAGACTGCTGAATTTCACGAGCCATTACCAACCACTGTGTTGGGTCAAACGTTACTTCAGTTGGGAAATCCACAAGACTAGAGATAGGGTTTCCACGAGGCTGTTGCAGGAATAATTCAGATGGAGTGGAGCCGGTTGCTTCATGTACCGTATGATTCAACACCCACTCAATGTAGGGCACATATGTCGGCCAATCAGAGTGGTGTTCAGAACAGTACGACCGAAAAGTCTCCCGAGTTCCCGCATCACCCGTTCTGCTGGGTTTGACTGGGGGTGGTAAACAGAGGTAAACGTAGGGGGAATACCTAAATTGGACAGGCGATTCTGCCAAGATTTGCTGTTGAACTGAACGCCATGGTCAGAGACAATTAATTTAGGTTTCCCGTAAGTAGCAATATAATGATCGATCATACGATTGGTCGTAGCTACAGCAGTTGCTCTTTTCAGTGGATATAGTTTGACAAACCTCGAGAAATTGTCCAGGACAACAAAAATATATTATACACCATTCCAGCCGGAAGGAAGAGGACCATAAAGATCAACAAATACCCGATCAAGCGGATTTGTAGATAGAGCACTTTGCATCAACCTTTCGGATCGGACGGTGCGATATTTAGTACGTTGGCATAAATCGCAGGGTGCCAGAATGAAACGGATAGGACGATGTAAATTTGGAAAATAGCATACTTCTTTAAGTACTGCAGCACATTTTTTGGCACCAACATGTCCATAAAACTCATGAACGGAAACAACTACCGAAAGCTCGTGAACAGAAGGAATGCAAACAAACCATTGTTCACTAGAGGGAAAGCGTCGGAAAAATAACACACCGTTGTGAATTTTGTAGAATTTATGAAGTGAACCTAGTGGTGACTCAAGATCCATGAATATGGTAGCAAGATGAAAATCAGTGAATTGATCTTGTCTGAGTGTTTTGAAACTGTCAACCAATTCTTTCGAAAATTTTGGTGGAACGTCGATCTTTAAACGAAAAATGGCAGGCATAACCTCGAGTGGGACTTCATTCCGACCTACTGGGTTTCTAGACAAGGCGTCGATGATGTTATCTTTACTAGGACAGTGTTCAATATGAAGGTCATATTCTTGCAGTAACAAGGTCCATCGAGTCAGCCGGGCATTACGAAGACGACAGCGGTATAAAAATATCAGAGCTTGATGGTCAGTGAAAACGGTAATTTTGTGTCCAAAAAAAAACACCCGGAACTTTTGACAAGCAAATACAATTGATAACAGTTCGAGTTTGGTAATTGAATAATTCCGTTCAGAGACGTTCAACACACGGCTGGCAAACGCTATCGTCCGACGTTCACCCTTATCAATTTGATATAGTTCTACGCCAAGCCCTATTTTGGACGCGTCAGTTTGAAGGCAAAATGGCTGGGTGAAGTTCGGGTGGACAAGTACATGTTTACCCAGGGTGATCTTGACTTGATCAAATTGTTCCAAAGCGTTACGAAGTACTGTATGTCTTAAAATATTTATTTTTTTTTTTGAACATTATGGAAATCGATATAATCTATATCATTGATAGTAAAAACTATCGATAATCTAAGTATACCATGAGAGGCAATTCGAGTAGACTGTTTGGGTATACTCGAATTGCATATAATAGAGCATTTTCACTGCATATAATCCGTGGTATAGTGATGACAATTCACCAGATGTACTATAATTGTGCTGATTTTTAATATTAGTGATCAATATGCCAGTAGACTAAAGTTAAATAAGAAGGTACATGAAAAAATTAAGCGATTATACAATTATTTTATTGACATGATTATTAGTTGCTTTTATAATTATTAAATACTTCAGATGAGTTAGAAATTAAGGTATTACTTTTTTGTGATAGGTATGTCGGTTATATTTAAATCATCTTGTACATATACCTGTATAACAGTCAATATCAAAGATGAGTTGCGTAAGACATTGGTATATTATTATTTTATATTAATACTAAAATGTAATTAATAATGTAATATTCCACGTTATTTTTTAAATGATAATTTTAGTGTTATGGATAATTACATTAGATGCTGCAAACAACAAATCCAAACTAATAGGAATTGCATCTTTCAAAAGTCTGGGCTTTTCAAAACATATCAGAAAAATATGAGTTTGTGTGAGTATTCTATAATATTAATAAATAATATTATTTCACTTATTGTAGACTTGCTAAATCCTGCACCAGATTTCCAAGTATCAACTACATACTCTTTCTTGAAGTGGTAACGGTATACTTTAGAATTAGTTTTAAAACTAACATCTAGTAAAACTTTTTTCCAATCATCCTTTAAAGGGGTAGTTTTAGGAACCCCAAACAAACTAATTTTTAAATCCTTACGAGGGCATAAAGGTACACAACATGCCATTATTATTATTATTATAATATAAAAAATAACCAAAACTATAGCGATATAGTTGATTATTAAATTATATTAATATAGTAAAATATCATATGATAATTAATATGTTTATGCAGGATTGCACAAAAAATTTAATGAATCAATAGTGAGATAATGATGCCTTAAGCAAGATTTAGTGGCCCGTGATTGGTCCATTACATTTTTAGTGAACCATTAAATTTATATAAATTGTTAATGCAACCCAGCATTAAACTGTTTAAAGTATTATTATATTTATATATCAGTTCTGCCGTGTTAGGTTTAAGTATACAGTTTTAGGCGGGTAAAAGTAGTCTGCATAGTTTTAATTTTCTCCACTAAAAGCACTATAGTATTAAAAACAGCTGATTGCTAGATTCATGTTGATGGTCGTCAGATAAACCATTTTACCGTAGTCGATGGGCAACCATAGTATCTTAAATCGTAGTTGAAATATACAGGTTATTGCATTACTTCGACAAACCTTGACAGAAAAGGAATTACGCAAAACAGTATGTTCATACACCCCAAAAGGAATATACATGGAAGAAATTGTTTAGTAATATATATTTTTTTTACTATTTTAGAAATTAAATAATTTTAAATAATTTGATCTGAAACATTTAAGAGTATATTAATATTTTATAGCACATGTTTAATTATAACACTGGCTTACTTAATAGTTTTCCAAATGCTGCCCAAGATTATACCTTTTTACAAAGTTCTGATCGTATGCGTCGACTGAGGCAAAAGTCATTTCCTGCAACACCAGACGATATTCAAGACCTACACTTGTTATTGATGGCAAACACAAAGTTTGCAATTACATTGCAAAATCCAGCAAATAAGTAAATTCTTATATTTAATTTAATTTAATGAGTTTAAATCTCAAAAATAATTTTAATAGGTTTTATCAAGGTCTGCTGTTGATAAATCAACAAGTAAAATGCGTGATATTTTGTAATTTTTAGCAATATTCAAGAAACAGGACCAGAGTTACGTTTTAAATCATAAGATTAAAATATGATATTTATATACGTAACTGTTATTTTGAAGTTTAGTTTCGGGTAGCAGGGTGTGACGGAACATTTAAAACAGTACCAAAATTTTAAAAAATTATTCCTACCAAATATTTACTTTTCAAGTAATTTATAAAAGCGTGTTAAGTCATAAATATTATGATCAACAAATTCAATTTTAGCTATTAAATTTGTTATTTTTATTCAACTTCTAATCTCTGAAAATGTCGATTGTGCATCTGAAGTTTCCAATAACTACATTCAAAGAACCAAACAAAACCATTATATAAAATTTATATTGCAATAATGCACATACTTTGTTGCATAGTTTTTTTTAACTTAATTATTTCTATTAAGGATACACTTAGCAACGTGTTGTTATTGAGTGTTTGATAAACATCACATTTGAATTATTTTTTAAATACTTTACTATTCAATAATGTTTTTATGTTTTTTATAACTTTAAAAATTCTAATAAAATAATTACACAATGGCCATGGAAGAAAAATCAATTGAAAACATTGTCCAGACTATTCAGGATATAGATAAAACTATTTTAAAGATTACCGAAGCAATACAAGTTCTTCGTAATGCCGAAAACAAATTAAATTTGGTTCGTTACACTTTTATTGATTTTATGATAAATTTAAACTATGCACGCCTGCGTGGAGAAATGGCTAAGTATAAGTAGAGTATAACACCAAAGTCAATCAATTAGCTTAAAATACTGGTTATTTTTATAGGAATGACCTTATTAACAGTATAAATTAAAAATAAAACATAATTGCTAATAGGTATTTACGTAAATAAATAATTTTCGGTTAATTAATTTAAAGAGAAACAGTATTATAGGGAGGTATTTAAAAATTAGATATTTTATAGACATTTTGATTAATGTTCGCTTCATAATATTCGCATTCATAAAATGTGTTGATATTATTAATAAACGCAATATTTACTGCCGCATTTTAATCATTAGATACTTAAACTTTTATTTTACTTTGAATACCTACGTCTAATCAATTACATATTAGTATACATATAAGACACCAGATAAAGTAATGATAAAATATAAATAACGATTTTATTTCGTCTATTTGTTAGAATATTATTTCTTATTCGAGTATTTGTTCTATAACTTTAGAAAGATAACAAAACTACGGATGAGATAACAACATTTCAAGATTTAAAAAAAACAATCGGTCGACAACTGAAAGAATTGGAAGATAAATTTGACCTTTCCAATCAATTGAAAATGACAGTGGTGGACCACGCTTACAAACTGACTCAAAGGAATTATGGTGGCCCCGTAGATCAACTGAATCCGGGTTGTCTGGATTTAATCCAGAGACCAACATCCACTCAAAACGTAAGCCCGTGGTTTATTGTGTTGAATATTTACGATTGATAGAACAATAATATGTATTATTATTATGAGTATTATAATTTTAATAGATGAACTGCAATTCTACAAGAGAGTTACAGAAGGTCGGTTATCTCAGCCACGATGCATTGATGGGAACGTCACCTCATATTATGATATTGCGATCGATGGTTTGTAAACATGTATTGTATTCAATTTTTTTTATAATATGGTATTCAATAAGGGACTTTAGTTACACACTTGGCATAGGCGCAATTTGGGGGGGGGGGGTGGCTTGGAGGAGCTTAGCCCCTCCAAAAATGTGTATTTAAGTTGAAGTATTAATTAATCCTTCATTAATTATCTTATCTTCATACCTAATATAGTAAACGTTGTTTGAAGAAATTTTTTTATAAAATTTAAACATGAAAACATGGAAACGAGCCCAACATGATGTTAGATTATATAACATAATATAAATACCTAAATGTTTTTATTAGTTTTGATACACATATTTTTGTTTTATTAATAGATGTATTATAATATATTAAATGTAGAAAAGTGGGAGAGAAAAATATGATTGTGGTATTTTACTATGGGGGGGGGGGGGAAGAGCCCCACACGGCTGTTTCATTTTAATATGTTAAGCCACTCCAAGTTAAAAACTGAAATTGCGCCTATGACACTTGGTACGATAATGATATTACAAATTTCTCTGGGTAAATATAAGTAAATATATATTTATAATTAATAGATACATATAATGTTTATATATTGTATTAGATGGGCATAAATTCCGTTCGTCAAAGTTATTGTTCGACTCGAGAATGTGGCTATAACAGTGATTCGAGCTGTTGCAGTATTTCTTCTAAAGACACAAATATGTATAGTGTATATTTTCATTATTTATTGATATGTCCCTGATTATATTTAATTATGCATGACATATTGTTAACAATAATATTATTTTAGAAATACTTTGGCGACCCAATGTTCAGAAAACTTTCACAACTCACAAGAAATTTATCAACTAAAAGAACAACTTCAAAATATAATCAATGAAAACCAAGAACTTCTTTTAAAACACAAATCTATAGTATCTTTTTAAACTTACCGATAATTGTATATACAGTAAAATTTCGTTATAACGTTTTGCGATTGGGCAAGGCAAAAGAAAGTTGTAAGCGTAAAAATGTTTTATAGGATGATGTTAAGAAAATTCTAGTTATTGTTTTCATAGTTTTAATATTTTAATATTTGATGTTACATGACGATTGTTCTAATCAAAAATAGTGTCGGATATCTGAAGTGGAAAAAAACTTATAATATTTACAACGATATACCTACTTTGGATGAACGTTAACCCGTCGTTGGTGACGCTAATGTTTTCAGATCATTAGTGACGTGATAGTGTTTCGCTCACATTCAATAATTTTAAGAAATGTGAAATTGGGAAAAGTTGACTGATTAATTAATCTATAAGTAGTCCTTACAACGAATCCAAATCAGTTTTATAAACTATTATCGCATTACTAGGTCGATCAGTATGATGGAAGAAATATTGGTATGTTTTGGCTAAAATAACTGTCCACCGATCCCTGCCGAGAAAATACTGGTAACTGTCGACATTTGATGGTAATAAGACGGACAGTTTATGTATTATAGATTAGATATTTTGAACGTATTTATTTCCATTAGTAACTTGTATGAGGATACTAAAAAATATCGATATAAACAAAATAATTTGAAGCCAATGGTTCCCAAAATAACAATTATGTGAGCGAAATGCTCATAGCGTCACCAACGACGGGTTAAATTAAGTAGAGAAATAAAATCTATAATGTTTCTTTTCTCATTCTTTAATTATTAACTGTATGCTATAAAACAAATCTATATGCAATAAGTTTAGTATCTAAAAGTTCTAAAAATATACAATAAACTATTCAAATTCTAGTGAGTTGATCCAAACTAATTACCTAGATATCTAGCTGTATAGCCGGGAATACATTATATGCTTGGATGTTATGACGAAGTTTTACTATATTTTATTTTAAAGAGTTAATATATTTTGTTTTTATAGACCGAACGAAACGATTTATTGGTAAAAGCTTTGAATCGTCCCGTAAGTAAAATTCCATGAAACAACAATCATAATTTGTAGTTATTCGTATAATTAAATTTATTGTAGGCTGTGTTTAAAAAAATAGAAGGAAGCATACGATTTCCTGGAAAGAAAGAAATGGTAACTACTTATATAATTCTAAATTAATAATTAAAGGAAAATTGTTTTTGTTGTATCTTTTTTATATCCTAGGAAGAAAAACTTTCAGAATTTAAATCAGAAATATTGCGATTGAATTCTGAGATTAAAGAAGTACACATAACTCAATTGAAATTAAAATCAGTCAAAGAAATTCTTGACCAATTTAATGCTACTAACTGTCAGGTAATTGCACATATACCAAACAATGAATGTGAATGAAAATTGTTTAAAATACTATTATGTGACTAGTGTGGAAGTCTTTCATTTAAGGAAAAGGTCAATACAAGTACCAAAGTTCAAAAACAAGAAATTCGACAAATCGAATTGCAAATAAAGTAAATTATATATTATTTTGAGAATTATATAAAAAATTAGTTTTATTTCCAATTTGTAATTGATTACGCTTACTGGTATACCGTGCATCCCATAGAGTATCATAGAGGCGCCGTATCGATAAATATTGAGGCGACCAAAGCCTCCTTTTTATAGTGTGACCATTTTCAGTGAAACAAATGATGTAAAACATTGACCTTACCCCGTTACCAGGCGGGGCCGGTGACCACCAAGTCGTTTTTAGTCCATTATGGCTTTATATCTTAGCCCGTGATTGAAATTAAATTTTTAAATATATATTATATAAGCCGTACAGCCGTAGCTAATTTTATGGGAGTAAAAGTAAAAGTATATTGTATAATACTGCAAGTATTGGAGTTTCTTAAAATATGGTTGTAACTTTAAATGTTTGAAGAATTTATTGGACTTAAACCTTTAGAAAAAGATATTTTGGAGTTAAATATATTATCTCTATCCATCTCTTAAATTCTATAAGCAATCATTAAAACTAAATAACAAACCACAACCACGTCATTATATTACATTAATTTACTAGAACGTTATAATATGTATTATTTTTTATTTGGTATAATAAATAATAATATCTATTGTATTGTTTTAATTTAAAGTTAACATTGTATTACTCTTTGAGCCCTTTCGGGCGTTTATTATAATTAAAAAAAAAACAAAATAAATAACATAATTTTAATACTGAAACAATTATTAAACAAACTATATAATTAATAATTATACAAGATAATATTACATAGTTTATCTATATACAAACAAAATTAAAATTTAATGTTGTTGAAAGTGAAGCTTGACGGACTAATGATGTTAGCATTAATATAATAAGTAATAACACGACAATATGGTTATGTATAAGTATAATATATAATAACGTACAACTGGACAATTAAACTGTGACAGTACACACACATCGTATACGCTCTGTACAACGACGCCTGTGCAAGTGAATATTACATACATCAAAGGCCCTATATATATGCACGACCGAGGTCATGTTACATCCGTAAAGAGAGTGAGTCTTATGCTCGTACATAACTAGTTACTAAATTGTACACACGTGTCAAGGCTGACTACATATACTACATATTAATTGTATATTTCAACACCCTCCCTCAATTAATAATCTCTTTAATTGTAGTCACTCCTATGGCTGACCGCAACTTCTCGAATCGTTCCTTAACCAAAGGCTTGGTTAGAATGTCCGCAATCTGGTCCTCTGTTCCAATGTACTGTAGTTGGAATTGTCCCTCTTCGTATTTCTCCCGTATGAAGTGGTACCGTACGTCTATATGTTTTGTCCTCTTATGAAACTCCGGATTCTTAACTAAACGTATAGCACTCTGATTATCTATAAATAAAACTGGTTGTTTGTCACCTGTTGTTGATAAGCTTGTTATCAACCGTGTAATCCACAAGATCCCTTTGACAGCTTCACTGGCCGAAATATATTCAGCCTCTGTCGATGATAACGACACACAATGTTGTCTCTGCGATGTCCATGAAATTATGCTTGACCCGTACCTGAATAGAAATCCTGACGTCGAACGTCGTGTCTGAATGTCACCTGCATAATCTGCATCGCTAAATATTTCTAATGACAATTTTGTTTTGTTATTAAAGTACAAGCCATAATTAAATGTTCGCTTGATATATCGTATAATCCGTTTTACCAAGTTCCAATGAGCTTTAGTTGGTTTTGCTAAGTAACGACTAGCAAAGTTTACTGCATATGCTATATCTGGTCTTGTTACCTGTGATAAAAACAGTAAGCTACCTACTGCCTGCCTATAAGGAATATCTTCATTCAATACTTCCGTATCTTCTTTTTGTTCAAGTGTATGTGATTTGTCTATTGGTATTGAAAGTTCCTTAGCGTCCAGCATATTAAATTTATTAATTATGCTACATGCATAATTAGTCTGATGCACAAATAATGAACCATTTTTCATTATATTTACCTGCATACCTAGGAAATAATCTAAGTTTCCTTTTTTAACCTCAAACTCTTTCTCCAAGTTCGTTAAAAGTTTCTCTATTATCTCTTCATTATCTGCCGCGATTAAACCATCGTCAACAAATATTGCAAGAATAATTTGGCTGTTATCAGCTTTGAATACACATGCATCCGCTTCGGTACATTGTAAACCAAATGCATTCAAAAAGTTCTTAAAGCGTATATTCCAACATCTTGGACTTTGTTTTAAGCCATATAAACTACGCTGAAGCTTACATACTTTATTCGATCCATCTTCGTATCCTGGTGGTTGTACCATGTAAATTTCTTCCTGTAGTTCTCCGTACAGAAATGCTGTCTTGATGTCGAATTGTCGAAGTATTAATTTTTCCACAGCTGCTACTGCGAATATCGCCCTAATTGATTCGTATCTGACCACTGGCGAAAATGTTTCATGGTAATCTATACCGTATTTCTGTGAACAACCTTTAATGACCAGTTTTCCGCACATAATTTTGTTATCTTCACCGTGTCTTCCATGACCGATGGATTCCCGTATACTTTCCTGTATAACAATTTATAACAAAACTTTACCTATGTACACTGTTCCGCCGTTTTCCGAAATCCAGGATATCTCCGACTGGTTGTAGTTTTCTGCGTTAATACAAATATACAAATACTTCGATCACGAATCCACTAGACTGTTTGTCTTGGTTATTGACTGGGCCCATAACCTGTTGAAAGTGAAGCTTGACGGACTAATGATGTTAGCATTAATATAATAAGTAATAACACGACAATATGGTTATGTATAAGTATAATATATAATAACGTACAACTGGACAATTAAACTGTGACAGTACACACACATCGTATACGCTCTGTACAACGACGCCTGTGCAAGTGAATATTACATACATCAAAGGCCCTATATATATGCACGACCGAGGTCATGTTACATCCGTAAAGAGAGTGAGTCTTATGCTCGTACATAACTAGTTACTAAATTGTACACACGTGTCAAGGCTGACTACATATACTACATATTAATTGTATATTTCAACAAATGTTATGTAACTTAATATAAGTAATATTAAATGGCCTTCAAATTATTAGGACTAAATAATCACTTATATCGAAAAATTAGAAAATAGTATTTTTTTCTTGTTGACCCTGGAAAAGAGTTAATTTGTTATAACACATTCTTAATGATGGTTTTTCATTTAAAGCTTTTTAAGACTATGGTTAATTTTAATTTTGATATATGTTGTAGAAATAGATTTATTAGAAGTGTAACATGATCAGACAATGGACTATGATTCTTTTTATGAATATTTAAAGAACTGAATATATTTGTTAAATATGAGAAAAAATGAGAAAAAACTTTTGATCGCACAAATAATACATTCACTTTTATATTTTTATAATTGAAACTACAAAGAAATTTGTCTTTATGAAGACAAATAGTACCCAATAATGTCATCACTCGGATAGATCAGACCTCTCTATTTCCACCTTTAATTTTTACTATTTGTCTCTAATGGATAAATATTTTTTTGAAAATCTGGTAATCAAGTAAACTTGTCCTAGTTTTTGTATCCACCAAATAATTAAATACTGACTTCTGAAACGTAATCAGTAAAAATTCGTAAGCACGTATTCCGTGTTCTTAAACAAACAAACAATTTGGCATTTTAAAAATGTTTAAATTTTAAAGTTTAAAATTATAAATAAGAAATATTTGAAAGTACAAAATTCATCAATTAAAAATGTAAAAATACAATGTATTTAATTGATGTGCACTGTGATCTATTTTTTTTCGATTAATTGTCGTAGGCTGCCTTTTTATTCGGTTTAAGGGACGGTTTGGCTTCAAACTAACAATACTATTAATATATACAACGACGCACCTATATTACTATATGGTGTATCCTTCTTCATACTTTCATATCATATTCTTAACTTTTGTCAAATATTTATGTATTATTACAAAAATTTGAAATTTTGAAATTAGACCTGAAACCTTCCTGGTATTTTTCCTAAGTATACCCTATTTTATTGGCCTTACTCTCACTATCTTTGAGTAATCCCTGTTCATAACATGACAGAACCATCTTACCTCTTCATCTTAAATTTGTCTTCTAGTGCCACCCTTAAATAACACAAATAATTAATTAATTTCTTATTTTATCCAGCATACACCTTAGCTTTTTCAAATCTGCTACACTCAATCTCTGTTCCGTTTTTATTGTCCAACATTTCGATCTATACAAAACGACTGCTATTTCATATAATTAATAAAATCTACCTTTTAATCTCAACGGAATCTTCTTGACCCATTTGTCACTTCCACACACTTCACACATACATAGATAGACCTATTTTTGACTTCAACCACATAACAATCATTATTTTGTACCACTAGTCCCAAGTACCTAAACCTCACACAGTACATCACCCCCCCCACCCCTTAATTTTTTCGGTAACTTCATCCAAAATCATACACGATTGACTTTGTTTTATCCTTAGCCAGATAACCTTCCAACACTTTTCTTAACTCTTTCAATCGTTGGTTGATTTCTTTCTTTTTATAAAATACCTATACGCTGTCTCAAATAAGAGTAAGCTCAGTCAGCTGGCTTCTATACTTAGCTGTGCCAATGGATGTGGCTAAAGCGAACTGAATGCTACACTCGTAGTAACGTAATTTTTATTACCTATTCTAAACATCGCCTAGCTTGAGGTTACTCTTATTTGATACAGAGTATATTATACAATATCTTTTTTTAGACAGAAGAATAATGAGTTGAACAAAATTGTATCAGATTATGAAGATATCGTTAAGACGAATCACAAAATTACCGATGCACATCATAAATTAGCTGATGGATTAATAGAATTATTAAAAAAGCTAGAGGTGCGTCAATGTAGGTTTTATAAAAAAAAAATATTAATATGTATTAAAATAAACTTATAGGAATACAATTCAGAAGGTCTCAATGATTTAATAAATGGTTTAAACAAAAACAACGAAGATATCGAAACGATGGAATTGATCATCAAAGAGCGTAGTAATGAAATTAATGATTGCGATGAAAAGGCATGTCCTAACTCCTAAATGCATTTTTAACTTTATATGTAATATAACATGAGTAATACAGATGATTTTTATATATATACCATGTATTTTTAGTTGAGACGTGTACAACATGAAACCAAAGACATCACGCTTAAAACAAAAAAAATGGAAGATGCGATGAAAAATCTGTTTAACGATTTTAATGAATCATATAATAAATTAGAAGTAATATTTAAAAAAAAAATAAATTATTTTTAAGTATTTTAAGCCTTGAAAAGACGGCTATTTATAGTAAAATTACACACTTTACAGTGTACCGTTATAGTCTATACATCTTTCGGTATTATTATTTGTTGATAACTATCATATAGGTAGGATTTTTATGTTTCAATAGTGTTTTATGAGATATTATATTGGGACAGAATGTATAATTAACGTGAATTGTTGTATTCATTTAGTTGGTTTACAAAGAACAGCTGGAGGAACTGTTGGCACTGCCAAAAGTTTTGAAAGAAACACACATTAAACTACAAGAGGAAACCGACTTAAGAGTATTAGCAGAAGAATCAATGAATAAACTAGAACGCGATATTAGACAGGTAAAATAATAATATCTTTTGTAAAAATATAAATTGTTAGGTATTATTTCAAAAGCTATTTTGATGAAGTATCAATAATATTATTAGATACCATTTTTACCATCTTCTTTGATAGATAAATACAATAGGTTATATTTTTTATTAAGGTGGAAAGTCTGAAAAATCCAAAGCAAAACGATGACGAGACAATGAATCGAGCAATAGAAGACGAACAATTAAAAATAAAAGACGAAAATAAAGTTATTGAGTATGTTATGCATTTCACGAATTTATCTTTTATCAGGTATTTTAGTGAAAATATTTTCCAGGTCAAAATTAAAATCTCTTGAAGAAAACATCGAGTTGGCTGTACAATGCTTGGATAAAGAAACACAGGAACTAAACGCTGTAAATCTACAAATCCAAGACGCTATTGCAGAGAGCACCAAACACATAAACGCATTTAAACTTTTTTCGGAAATACATTTGGAAAGAATAGTTAACGACTTGCATAGATTAAAAGACATTTTGACGGAATCTCAAAGCAGAGAGTGTGCGAAAGTTCTCGTTAAAAAATCGGTAAGGCTTAACCTATATAGTAGGAGTGAGTGGGTGAATGCCGGTCAGATCCAAGAACCGGTCATACAAGTGATCTCGAATACTAAGATTAATAAAAACCGTTGTTTTATCGAGCAGCTTATTTCCTATTGTATGAAACCCATGGTTGAAATATACAAGGTTATTGCATTTATACCCCTTCTAGATCAATTATTTGATGATAAAAACAAAAATGGCAGCGTAAAAATGGGAGCCAATAATAATTAAGTATACATGCTCGAGAATTTTGAACTTGTTAGCTTTTTTTCAGCGTGCTTTTATGATAAGAAAAATTTATATTTTCGATATCCCTTTAAGCAGCTATTTTGTTTATTATAATATCAATACGAGTCAATATGTAATAACCTGTATATTTCAACCATTATGAAACCCAAAAATTATTGTTCCCGCCATATTATGTTAACAACTGATAACAGAATTATAATTCCTATCTATCTACATTTATTTCAAACAAGACCGGTATTATGCTCCAGGTAAGGCTATTTATAGTTTAAAAAAAAATATATATAATTTATAAATAATACTTTAAAAAATCTCAAATTCAAATATGTTGTAGACTATAAGTGTATAAATCAATATAGAGGATTGACTGAAGTTTCGGAGTTATATTTGGGAAGATATTATAATAGTTTCCCTTAGATAGGTGACCGCCATTCACCCACTCACCACTATATCCAAATGGTCTTTCATGATATATTAATTTATCATTAAACTATTTAATATGCTGATATATAATTACTTTACTTGACATAATTATTTTTTATTTACTTATTATTTGAAAATAATATCTATTTTAGTATGCTTTATACGATGATTAAGTGGACTCCACACGAGCATTTATGTCTTACCTACACCACGGAAAATTTTTCTTTCACAATAGTCAATAATACATTTTAATCTGTAATTCCAAAGGCTAGAGTACATGTACCTCTTACATAATTTAAAGGTAAAATTTTTATCTACTTAATTTCGGAGGGATTTATTGATATTTTTCTTAAGAATCAAGTATGACCATTTTTAAACTGCACATTTTTGTACATTATTAAATGTTCATAGCTTACTAACACATTATAATATCAGTAAAATCCTAAAAGATAATACCGTAGATAATATTCTTCATTTAAATTTTTTAAGATTGAAATTCACTCTAATTTCAGAAACTACCGAGTACAATGTATTGTTATAAATGTACAATTTGCAATGTTTTACGTTTGTAAGACGGAGACAACAAATATCCTTGTGGAGAGTTCTTATTAATCGTATGCAGCATACTAAAATAGATTTATTTAATAGATTAAGTTCGGTTAAGTTAGATTTTAGAGGTCTGACCTAGTTTCAAAGTCATGAATATTTAAGCCAAACACAACAAACTGGAGTGAAAAAATATTTTTCAAATCACCATGTTTAGTTGAAATATTTGGTCTAAGGTACATCATATTAGGAACATATATTGAGCGAAGCAAAATAATGTATTGTATTTACAAAGATGTGTGAGTGTGATTATTTTTCTGTCATTAACATTTGTGGTAGTAAAAATTTTCTGATTTTCGAGATCCGCATCTTTTCTGATAGAAAAGTGAATCTAGTTGGTAAGTACCTACTTTTGAAAGGTTTAGAAAGGCTAAATAGTTATTGAAAGCGTCAAGAAATTCAAAAAAAAGTGGTAATGTTTACGCAAACCCAATTTTTGAAAAAATAACAGCAGACAGTTCAAATGTTTACCAAATATTTTATATTAAATATTTTTAATTGTTTAGGTAAACATAAAATTATATTTATGATACAATATCGATATCGCAATACAATATCAGAAAAATCTGATCGATACACAAAATTATATTGTTGCCCATCACTAATAAATAAAAACCAATGTTTATTTTTTGAAGTTAATATTTTGTTTTCATAAATTTAATAAACTGGTGGTCAAAAATGTTTACTTCTTTAGATAAGTCTTAAGAAGAAACTTCTTCTATTTTTCAATTTTTTTTATGACACCCAAGCTCGGACGGTTTAAATAAATAATAAATATATCCATCAATTTGTTATGCAAAACCATTTTGTATCTAGACACGCGGTAGCGTGTCAAGCCAAGTTCTAGCTAACAGAACTGGTGAGCAGCACCGTGTGTAATATTACACGAACCATTTGGAGCCACTTTTGACCCCCTCATAACTCAAAAACTATTCCACATAAACATGTCAAATTTGGCTCATATATTGAGACTAACGAGATGCATATGTGCTCTAAATTTCATAAACACACTTCAAACCGTTATTTAGATATTAACGTCCGAAAATCGTAATTTTTATCACTGACTGACCTATAGATCAAAATTCTAACCCAGTTCCAGATGACCTAGAAAGTTCAAATTTGGCATACAGATAGGTAGTTAGGTAAATACAAAGGAAAAAAACAGAAACTTGAAAATTTTTAATTTAAAATTTTTTAATTTTTTAATTTTTAATTTTTTAATCAATTGATTTTATTATAATTTTGCAATTATTTTATCTATTATGTTTAATTTTTCAATTAATTAATGAATTGCCTCTAATTTAATGTAATGTAATGTAATGTAATGTTGACTTAAATAACCTTTCCCGTATCGCCGCTCCAAAAATACGACTAGCCGAATATGTGTCGATATTGTCGACCCGCGCGCAGCAACATACTTTTTTTTCTATCTATGTATGTAATTAATATTATTTTTTTTAAATATTACAATTAAAATAATTAAATAATTATTCTTACAAATTATGAATTATCCACCCAACAGTAGAAACTACAGTCAATAAAATTATGATAATTAAAAATATACTCAAAAAGAGTTAAAATAATTGTATATTAATTTTACATATATTTTATACTCTGTATATACAACGGAAAATATTTTATAATAAATATTATTATTAATATTAGTAACTGAATTATATTATATAGTAATAAACTTTATTTATAGAATACGTCATGGCTAGGTTAGGTTAGGTTATAATAATTTACATTCAACAAGTAATGATATCCCACCAAAAACATATACCATGTAAAATGAGAGCCAAGTTCAATACTATAATATATGCCTTGGTAATTGGTTGTTGACTTCAACGACAAAAGAAGTGAGATCTAAATGGGTGCCAATTTAGGATAATATATTGAAGCCTAAGGTCTGACTTGGCTACGAATTATATATTATAGCATTTGCAAGTTCTAAAGCTTTGAGTTCTTATTTTATTCTTCGGAAAATCATCTTCACTCTTCCATTACTGTTTTAGTAGGTACTTATAATAATAATTCGTACCTATATGAAAAGTAGCCAAGTCACACCTTAGGCTTCAATATATTATCCTAAATTGGCACCCATTTAGATCTCACTTCTTTTGTCGTTGAAGTCAACAACCAATTACCAAGGCATATATTATAGTATTGAACTTGGCTCTCATTTTTCATGGTATATGTTTTTGGTGGGATCATATATTCATATAGTCATATCATATATAAGCTATATCATATAGAAGTACAAACAATTTTTCGGGTAATAGTGTTAAATCCTGTACCAGAAGTGACCCGTATTCGATATGTTTGATTACACCACGATATAATGTTGTTTGGGATAGTAAAAATATAATATATCAAACATATTTGATATGGCACCAAATAGATTTAAAAGATTTTAATTGGCTATAATTTCAAAACTAAGTTGGACCACTAATTTCTGACTTCACCATCAGTTTTCAGTAAGTTAAAATTCGTAAGTTTAAAACACGGTTATCTACTCAGGTTGGCGGACGCCGTTTTACTTTTGGTCTATGCGGCGTCGTCTAGAACTAAAAGCGCTAGTAGTCAGGAGGCCTCTTAAATACATTATTAATTATGACACCCGATCCGCGTTCGTAGTTAAAATTATATTTTATCATGGTCTTTTAGTAAAGTTATGGACACGAACTAAGGTATAATTATATAATAATATAATATATATATAATATATAATTATATCTTAGTCCGTGGTTATGGAATATGGATTATAAATAGTGATATTTTTGTTAAATAAGCATTGATTCATTTTGTGAAAATTTTTACCTATGTATTATTATGTTACTACACATTTTCCTAATGTAATATTTTATATACTTAAAATAGTTATATCTTAAGTACAGACTTTAAAGCAATAAAATACTTAAGAAAATTACTTAAAATTAAGCAATAAAGCTAACAAATTGGATTTATTGTTATAACTTAAAATTAATAAACATTAAATATTGAAAAAGATATAGCTTAACCTAAATTTTGAAACAATATTAAACACGTTTGTTAAAACTTGCTCTTTTAAAGCCATGTTCTTCCGTCATTTTTATCAAATGTCTTTAATATAATTTCAGGATCTATTCTAATTTCTAATATTTATAAATTCGTTAAACAGCCATAAGTTAAGTTGGCTCTGACATATTATGTTTTAATTTATCTCATAGTCATTGATACTTGCATATCTAATTTTTAGTAAATTAGGAACACTTCTTAATTGAAATTCTATGTTTAGTTTTTTATAATACAAATTTAACATAGTATTTATACTCTTATTATACAGGGTGTCCCACAGAGATCTGACAAATAAAATAACTTTTGTTCTAATTAATATTTTTAAAAAATTTCTTTTAAATATAATTCATAGACAATTGCGCTACATTTTTAGAATACATTTTTTATTTTTTATTTTTTAATTCTGATAATAAAAATCTTAAAAATTGATAAAAAAAATTTCCAGAATATTCAAAATAGCCAATTTGTAAATCTGATTTTCAGAAAAATTTACATGGTAAAAACATTTATTTAAGTCAAGTGGCTGATTTTTTTACAAATTTTTTAAATATCAATATTCTCGTTAAGTAACTTACGCGGGCACCTATGGGTATCATTGTATTGTTATTTCATTTGTCAAATATCCTTGGGACATCCTTTATATTATATTATAAAAATAAATATAAAATATTTGGCGGGCGTTTGAAATTTTTGGGAGGGCTTAGTCCCTAAAGCCCCACTTATTTGCGCATATAGTCTTAAGGTTTAAAACCTAATATACCTATTATACGAAGTGCTTATCATTATCTATAAAAAAAAGTATAATACAATAGCTCTTCGAGAATGTAACCATTACTTATTACTAAAATACCATTAACGGGCAATGTTCTATATGTAAAAGTAGGCCTCCTAACTACTAGCGCTTTTAGTTCAGTTCGACGCCGCATAGAGCGATATAATACACGTATGGTATAGAAGCGTCCGCCAACCTGAGTAGATAACCATGGTTTAAAATAATTATGGTGTCCAATAAAGTTGAAAATATACCTGTTTGTTTAATCAGTTTATGGATCATTTAAAAGATAAAGTAACTTCAATTTACCAGAACGTGGAGACGTGTAAGCTAGAAATGAGTATTCTTCTGGAACAATCAAATGCAAATAACATAACGCCATAATTTCCATATTGGACATTCATGTAAATTATTTTTAGTAGTACCTACATTTTAATGAAGTTAAAATAGTCTTTATGACAAATTAAATTAAATAAAAAGTATTTGTATTTACACATATTAATATTGTATATTTGTTTTATAGGATTTTGGTAAAACTAAAAAAAAAAAAATATTAAACTTAGGATAGGATAAAATTTAATTAAAAAATTGGGAAAAACAACTGAGTAGGTATATTATTTACAACGAGAGAAACTGAAAACTTTAAAACTCAACAAATAACTGTAATCAGATGAACAGTGTAATCCCAATTTCATCATATTTACAATGGCACTTTGTGTTTTTGAATTTATTATCGGGGATCTCAGATAAATGATTAAACCTGGGATCTAATATTTTGCAGATATATAATATTGAATTCTTATCATATAGCTCTTTAGCTAACAAATATTCTGAATATACTGTGAACTCGGATTGAGAGTAGGTTTAGTTGTTTAAATACCACTATAGTTATAACATGTAATCAAGTATTGTAACGTGTCCAATACTCGGATTCGTAATGATTGATACTGTTGACAATAATTACGAAGTAAAATATATATTTTGAATTTATTTTACACAACTAATTATTATAAAATCGTTAAGTGTTTTATTTATTAAAACATTCATAGTACAAAGCAACTAATATAAACGGTGAAAAGCGAGTTGTTACTTAAAGAATCTAGTTTATGGCGGGTCTGCTTCTCTGTCAATTGGCTGTTGCCTGTTCGTCTGACGAGCACTTGTCAGAGAGCTCCTCTTTTGGAGACAGCCCTATCCTTGCTATTATTTACGTATGACCGTATTTGGTTATCTCACGGTAAAGCCCTATATCGTGTGAATGATAAGCCTATATACAGTTTAATGTATTACAGAATAATGACACAAATATACAATAGGTACAATTGTAAGTATTTACTCAAAATGAATATTGTTTTAAGCGCACTTATCTAAATTAAATTATACACAGTGGTCGAAGTGGGGGGCATACGATGGGATGACATCCCTCCACTTTTTATTATTGACATTATCCATCCCTCCACTTATTTCGTCAAAAATAATGCATCTCCCTTATAAATAATAATTATACACAAATATTGTCAATATATAGTCGTGTTTCTTCTTTTTTTTACGATGTTTTTTTAAATTAATTTTACAATAGTATAATAAATAATTTTTATTTATATTATAAATAAGTTTTATTAATTTTTAATAAGAAATAAATACCTATTTGTATGCTCGTTTAAATTGGGCCATAATGTGACAATACTTGATCTCATTAATCTAAACTTAATTTCTTACAATTTTACGTTGATAATATATTGATTTAGATCCAAGAGCGTTACGAGTTTACATGTTTTTCAATAACCATTCAAAACATAGATGCATAATATATAAATTTGTTCATATCAGTTAATTCATCTTAATTAGCTTTGTATTAATATCCACAAGTTCCACCAACTTGTTCTTAGGCATATCATGTGCTTGTGGAAAGTCACAAGTCACACAATATATTGTTCATTTCAGCAATTCTAAAAAAAAAATAGAAATATCACCAATGAGTCATGTCTTGTTTGGCCTGTGACACCTGAAAGAAAAAGTACAAGAGTAACAGAAAGAGTACCATTTGTAATAACATCAAAAAAATGGAAAAACTTGTATGAACAAAAAGAAAATAAGAAACGGTATATTGAAGAAGAAAAAGAAACGAGAAAAAAAATAAGGGGAGAAAAAAAATCTTGAAAGATGCAAATTCAAGCAAGACAACTAAAAAAAAAATTGTAAGAAATTTATTTTCAGATTTTAGTACAAATAATAAACCATCAGAAACAGTGACTAGTCAAACTATTAGTTTAGATACTTCAATATTTAAGAACTTAGATAATATTGATGATACCATTGATATAGTTTTGGCTCATGGACTAGCTAATTCACCAAACCCTCAAAGTTATAGTAATAATAGTTGCATACTTGAAACAGGATATTGTAAATTATGTAATACTGAAATAAAAAAAGATGACTTAGGTATTGTAATTTTTGCTGTAATCAATGCCACCAAAGATGTGCAAACAATTCAATTTGTGATCTCAGTAGTGACGAAACACTTTTTATATGCCAAATTTGTGAGAAATCGGTAATTGTTAACTAAGTACCTACTTAAGAGAACTTTTATTATTATTTTATTATTTTTTATAATTTTACATTTTTTTGAGTTCCTACCTAGGTAAGGAGGTAATTAATTTTATTTGATTGATTTAGTGAGTACTGATATTTCTTTCGTATCTTTATACATTTTTTTGTTATTTTTTATTATACTTGAAAAGTGTATTTAGTTTTTTTGTTATATTAACTAGTTTTGATCAGTTTTTCATATATTTATTTTTATTTTTATACTATTCAAAGTTTTATCAAGAACCTAACTATTTGGTGCTTAATTTGTTATTTTTATAATTATAAATTTGTTGTTAACCTACCTAGTTAAGGAGGTAATTAATTTAATTTTTATTGATTTAATAGGTACTGATATTTCAATTAACTCAGTTTTATACATTTATTTTGTTATTTTTTTGTTATTCTTGAAAAAGTTTTTCATGTTTTTTTTATTTTATTAACTAGTCATTTATCAACTGTAGATATTTTTATGGGTATTTCTAAACAGAAAAAAAGGTTATTAATTAAGTTGCTAACAATCTAGTGAACTAAAACTTAATTTGTCACATAATTTTAGTGGGTGCCAATAACTAATGATGAGACTGCCAATAACTTCATTAATGGTGCCAATAACTAAATGTTTTGATATTTTTGTAGATAACTGTATATATAAAAAATATATTACACCTACACTAATTTCGATGATAAACTTAGAAAGATAACCACATTTTAGATAAAGTCAAAGAGTTTAATAATTGTAACCATGGTTAAACACAACTTATAGAAACAGTTGAGAGTGAAATTTTCTTAAGGTGCCAATAACTACATACTTTACCCTATTTTTTAGTTTTACTTGTTGATTTATTTCCAACTCAGGGTTAATATCAAATTCAAATTTTTTACTACCTATCTATTAAATTTGTTATGTTTTTGTTATTTTTTACGAGTGTGTTTTGTAATATTGTCTGAGGTAATATTGTGTCAGCAAAATGTTCATTCATTGTTGGCGCCAGCCTAAGTTTGAATGTCCCTCTATCGAAATTAAGAGTGTTTAATGTGATAGCGGCAGTCGGCATAGGTATGATACGACCATAGACCTTTTACTCATAGACCGGCCCTCTCCAAGTTTCCGCCGTGTCAACATAGGTGGCGCTTTTCGGTTACTGAGTTACTCTGAATTCTGATACAGTGAAAAAATTATCGTATAGGACCAGCTGTCTATCACGGATATAATATTATCTTGCAGTGCTTTTGAGTTTTTTCGCAGTTAAATGTTCACTTTTTACACTTTCTTTTGTTTGCTATTTAAGTTTTAAATTTAATTAATATGGGTTTAAAATGCATTGTATGCAGTAACACTGTTAGTGACAAAATTAAACTATTTCGGTTAGTATATAATATATTATCATTATTATAGTATTATTGGTACTTAAATGAACATAATAACTTATTTTATCCATTTTATAGCTTTCCAACAGATGAAAATCTTAAAAAAAAAATGGATGGACATTTGTTCGCTAAATAAATGTCTAGTTTCATATCGCGTTTGTAGTGTACACTTTAAGAATGATGATTTTAAAATGAATGGTCTCTTATGTCCAAATTCTTTTCCCGTTTTCAATACATCAACAATTTTGGATGTTTCAAATACTAGCAAATTCAAGTAATACTATATCTCATCTTATAATATTTATGATTATTATGTACCTGCATTGTATAACATAAACATTATACATTAACAGTACACCTAGCTGTAAGAGAAAGCTGTATGAACCTGAAAACAATGAGTCAAATGAGGTTTTGGGACAAATTACAATCAGCCCGAATACTCAGTAAGTAATATTTGTTAATTAATAATATAAAATGTTAACTATAATATAGTTATTTGAGATATTATCTCAAATTTAATTATAAGTAATACAATTAGTTCAAATTAATTTTATATCTCCAAGTTCAAGTACAACTACAATAGCGAATAATGTAAAGCGTCCAAGATATATTGGTGATTTAAAAGTTGAAGATTTCATTTCTCCTAGAAGAGCTAGTAGAAATTTAACGTTTATAAAGAATAAACACCATGAAACTTTAAAAAAATTGAAAATTACTAGAGAGAAAGCTAGAAGACTTCAGAACAGAGTCAAAACTTATGAAGACCTTATAAAAGTTCTAGAAGAAAAAAATCTAATTTCAGAAAATGCATCACGGATTTTACAGGTATATAAATGTAAATGTATGTAAAATGCAAATCTGGGATGATGACTTTTAACTTAACTAGTTACAAAAAAAAATAGAATGTAGAAAATAACTTAATTAATAACTAAGTTAAATAATTGTAACTTAACTTAGTTATTTTGTTAAAATGAAAGTTATTTGTAAAAAGTTATTTACAAATTTTCCTATTATGATTTATGTGATTTATGAACTGTATATTATTTGCATTGATATTTCGGAGAACCGCGACGGAGGTATATCTACCGACGATTGTATATTATTGTGTTTATTACTATACTATAGACATATTATTATAGTATGTACTAATGATTAATATACTATATAGACATATTGTAATTAGTTGAACAAATTGGTTAACTTGCCCAGCTTTGGTAAAATGTAATATTGCATTTTTGGGTCTTGTGCCCATTATATAATAATAAATAAATAATATAAAATGATAAGTATTTAAAATTATTATTTTAGATAATATGTATTTAGTATTATATTTCTTTTTTGTTTACTTAAATATTTATTTATTTATTTTCATAAACTAAATTAATCACTTATTTCAGAATTTTTTTTTTCCTACAGACATTTGGTTC